CTGGAACTGGATAATGGACTTTCTCACAAACAGACCTCAGACAGTTTGGAGATGACACCACCATCATCTGCCGGATTTCAAATGACGAGAATTCATATCTGGAGGAAATCAACAATCTTGCAGAGTGGTGCACAGAAAACAACCTACTTCTCAACTGCAGCAATACCAAGGAGCTGATTTTAGGAAAAAGGAGGCAAAGACTGTCTACATCAGTGGGGCATAGATGGAGTAGGTGAATAGTTTTAGCTTCCTGAACATCAGCATCACAGAGAACATGTTATGGTCATCACATCTCCACCTTTAAAAAAAGCACAAAAATTACTGTATTTCTTAAGGAAACAGAAGAGTGGTAGAAAGCATCCGGACTGGAAACATCACAAACTGGCATGGCAGGTGCACTGCCCAGGACAGGAAGGCTCTGCAGTGTGTGATTAAAACCGCTCAGAAGATCACTGGTACTCAACTACCCAGCATCAGCGATATCAGTGAGGTGAGGCGGCTGGGTAGAGCCCAAAGGATATTAAAAGACAATACCCACCCCAAACACAGCCTGTTCACCCTGCTGCCATCTGGCATGAATACAGAAGTATCCACTGCTGTACCATCAGACTCAAGAACAGCTTCTTCCCTTGCTGCGAGACTGCTTATTTTATCCATAGCAATATGAATTTATATACCTATTCACACACAACAATTAACCATGTAGATATTGCCTGTAGGCTCACATTTCATTTGAATGACCAGCTTTACTTTGAAACCAAAAACCCTTGTCCTATAGTCAATAGGATAATCAACTTGGAAGAAATGTTGCCCCTTTTCACACTTGATTTCCTATGAGTGAGATATAGTATGATGCATGGTTTAGGCTGGACAAACATCTCTTAATTAATCCTGCTTTGGAAAAAAAAAAAGGTAAAAACTAGTTTCTGTACATGAAGGTCTATTTGATTCTCAAAACTTTGTATAATTACAGCAGTAAAACTGTCCATGGTTCGTAGGTTGAAATATGTATCACACATTACCATTTCTTCTTTCAGCTTCTTGGAGCTTAACAATGATGTCCGAAACCACAACATGAGGAATATAAGACTATGAATAAATGATTTGCATGACCTGGAAAATGTTGGGACCACTTTATTTTGACAGATAATAACTGATGAATATTCTCTTCTTATATAATGTGGCATAAATGTGCATGTAATCTGATTACAATAGTACTGAAAAAGTCGTAGTAAGTAGTCGCAATAACTAGCAGTAGCACACAATCCATCAGCAGAAACTTCTTCAATGGTGTTGCTCTGTCAGGCTCACACTGCAGATATCCACACTTTCCACCATTTAACCATTAGTCCAAAAGTTGGATCGTTGTGTGCTCATTAGTTTGGAGAATTTGATTTATTGATCATTTGTGTAACTAGTACTGTGTACACCACTAAATCAAAATATAAAGCTTCCCAAAGGACCTATGTTTTAAAGCCTTTATTGTTTTAGTTTAATAGTTTTAATATTTTACTCAGTGTAAAAAACATAAATAAAAATGTAGAACAAATATATAAACGTGATGGTGTCACCCTATGGAAATGGAAATAAAATACTTCATAAATCAAATGGGAATTAAAACTAATATTTGTTAAATACTTCTTCAGCTCTTATAACTGAATGTGTCAAAAGGCAGACAGAACAGATAACACTGAATCCTCCAACAGGAAGGTTGCACTGCATGTGGAGGCTTATTCACATTGTTTATAGATAAGGCTCAGTATACCAAATTAAGCAGCCTGGATGCAACTGTGTGACTGCATGGCTAAGAAGATTAGACAAGATTTATCTACCCAGCAGTCGTCAGCAGCACTGTTCACACAGACTTGGTGCATAGCAACAGGTCAGTAACCAAATGTGCCACATTAGCACTTACCATGGACTAAGACAGAGACCAATTGAGAGCTACCATTTCCTTATGACCCTATATGGTTGAGCTTCTGGCAAAGGTTAGTGTCCAGCTCTATCTGTACATTGTCCAATAGTATGCTTCCATGTTCCTGTTTTTTTATGTGTTTGTTTGTGTATGAGGTCACAGCAGGGCAGCATCCACCTACGTATGACATAGCCTACTTTTTTTTACCTGTCTACACCCGATCCTTTCCACTCATTAGACCACAGTTCAGTAAAACTATGGTCATTAGTACACTGTAATGTAGCAATCCAATATCATTTTAGCTGAATTAGATTCACAATGGTGGAGGAAGTATTCAGATCATTTTCTATTTTACTGTTGGGATAAAGCTAATATCCGGCTGTTGTTTATTGGGCTGCAACTAATAATAACATTTTCTTGATTAGGGCCTATCTATTTATTTTTTGGTTTGTAAAATGTAAGCTAAAAGTGAGAAATGCCCATCACAATTACCCAGAGCTTAAAGTCTGTTTTGTTTTGTCAACAGTCTAAACCTCAAAATTATTCAGTTTACCTCAATTTCATATAAGAAAAAGCAGCAAATCATTTTGGTATTTCTACATGAAAGATTGCTTCATTTTGTGATAACTGACTAATGAGCATTGTAAAACTGTTAAATGTTCTTCATGTTTTGAATGTAAAGTCTTAATTTGTTAAGTAACAAGTAACTGTAGCTGTCAGATGTAATGGAATAAAAAGTACAATATTTCTCTATGAAATGTAATAGAGAAGTAGAATGTGTCATGGGACAACTCATGTAAATTACTAAAACTTCAAATCTGAGTAAATTTACTGTATTACTTGAGTATGTACATCCACCACTGGCTGTAATAGATAAATCATATTAACAGTAATTTCTTTCTCCAGTTAGAGTACCACAATGTGAGGTGAACATGCTTCAACATGATGGCATATATCCTGTTGACTGCGTTTACATGGACGCTCAAGGGGATACTGTGCACTTGCAGGTTCCTTTGGGTGAGGGTACATTCCAATGAATTTATCATTTGTAGGAAATTTGTATATCTTGTCAGTAACATGTTTTCATATGAGCCGTGTTTATTTGCATTACAGATATGCCCATACAATGCAATCAAATTCTTGCCAAGGGAACAACACACAATTACAGGGGACACAAACCGACAACTAAAACCATTTGTGGGTAAGGATCTCATAGTCATACAATGTGCTCACTACTATCTTTTTTAAACAGAAACTAAAACACAACTCCGCCCTCACCAATTCATCTTTCCCAGAATGAGGGAATAGCTCCATAAAATGCTTCTTTATAAAAGAAAAATAGATATTTATATAACTGTACACCTTATCTATACAGCGTAAAGACAGAGAAAGACCATATTTAGCTGGCTTGAATCTACTCAGCGCGGCTGTTGTGTTCTAGCTCCATGCACATTAAATGTACATTGGTCCTTTTGGTTTTTGGGGGAGATTATAAAAGATGACTTTGCAGTATCCCTCAAAACAGACTGTTAAATGTAAACAAACAACAAGCTGTATTGTCTTATCTCCTTTATGGAACCAAAGGTCTATCTGCATCCTATTATAAATCTACTTTACATCTCGTCAGCTCATGTGTAAGTAGAAATATGATGTGATGACCTAATTTGACTTTATTTGTCAGGTTCTGAAAGTAAAGGGATTGCAGCCATACCAGGTAGCCCTGACCGTACACCTGCCCTTGATAAAAGACTTACCAAAACCGAGAAAGAGATACTGTCCCTCAAAACCAGGATCGCCTGTGAGAGAGCATCATGGGAAAGGAGGTTTGCAGAGCTGCAGAGAAAACAGGAAGAGCTATATCAGGTTTGCTAGTGAATGTATGTCTGTGTTTGTGTTTGTGGTTGAACATGTGTCTATGACTTCTCTAATGATAACTTGTCTCCTTTACCTCAGCTGTCTTCTCAGGCTGGGGTCCTAATAAAAGTGGGCAGTTGTGATGGCCAGGGAGAGCTAGGAGCCGACAATGGAGTATTTGAGGAGTGTTCAAGTAAATGACAGTAATACACACTGAGCACATTCAGAAGTTTTTATACATGCTATTAAATTCAGTACGTTTTCTAATGAACAGGTGGTCTCTCAAGAATGATGTACCAAGACAGAGGGTCTGAAGGGTCATCAAAAGGCGACACTTGCAGTTTGTCAGGCAGCCAGTTATCCTCATCATCTCCACTGAGCTCAAGAGTTGCCTCCTCCTCATCCTCAGCCACCAGGTATAGGCCCTAGAGGTCCAGTGTGTAATTCACATGAATGAAAACATACCTATAAATATTATATTTCATTTCTGCCAATAAAACCTTATACACCGGATGATAAGATTCACCACAAAAACCAAAGAGTCAAAACAGGTTGGTCGTGTGGCCGATGCTTCTTGGTTGGAAGGGAGCAGTCTGGCACCTCACTCCCTGTAAAATGTTTTTACTCTCCAGTTTTTGTGCAGGTTAAACTAAGAAGATATTGTGTAAACAAGTGACCTTTAGTGTTACTGGTTGGTGGATTTTGTTACCTTTTGAAGGAGAATCTTTTTTATTTCACTTCAAAATGTAGGTTTAAAAAAAATAAATAAAAAATACCCCCTACTGACTGAGCCCTCTCTTTCTCGAGTGTGAGATCATGGAGAACATCTCAAGGGCCTCACCGGGTTTTTGTACCACACTCACCCATGGATTTGGAGCTGGGTCACCGAGTCAGGATCATGCTGCCATCCGGACGGATCAGCACAGGAACGATTCGTTTCCTGGGCCACCTGCAGGGGGAGGCAGAGCTCCACCTCGGGGTGGAGCTGCAGACACCTGATCACGGATTGCATGACGGCAGGCACAGGGGACACAGCTACTTTGAATGGTAACTGATCTAATTTTCTTGGAACACAAGCAACATGTAGCTACTTAATACCTCTCAGGGTGTGCGACCTGACATTCAGTGGTGCACTTTGATTTCTTTCGTTCACCCCTGTGTCATTCAGTGGTGCTTTATTATAATAATTTTACTACTTAAAAAAAAAAAAACAAGTCAAATGCCTCCTACAAACCCATTTTATTGTGCATTATTACATTGATTTATATTACAAATTTATACAGTTCATTTAAAGGGACTGATAATATTCTGGCAGGATCATGTGTTATTAAAGTGTGATTCCCAAACCTTATGCAATTACATTAAAGTGTCTCTCAAAGCATCACACTCTGGCCCTGAGGAATTTAACAGCCAAACAATGCTACCAAACATACTTGAACAAATCCTGTGCACTTAGTGGCTGAGCTGAATATGCAAATTTCAAGCTGAGGTGAACTTCGCAGGCTCAAATTACAGCATGTAAGAAGTGAGGCATGCGCTTCGGATGTGGTGTGTAAACTCATACCTGCAGCAACTCATGCCTGCAGCAATGAAAATCTGACTTGTGGTAAATACAGAAAGCATATGTAAACTACCGTGTCATTCACACGGGTAAACCAAGTTAACCTATTTAAAACCACTTCCGCACTGCTTTTTCTTTTATTTAGATTTTCCTTAAATTAACTTAAAACATGCAGATTATTTTAACAGTTATTTCTGTCCTTTACAGCAAGCCTGGCTATGGTGCCTTTGTACCATTCCACAAGTTACTGATGGCCTGGGAATGACAAAAGCACAGACTGTCATGCAGAGCTGCCCATTTGGATGTGTGGAAAGAGGGTGGAAAGAGGGCCAACTGAAGGCAGAACAGTAGTTACGGCCAAGGATCTTACACCTTATAATAATGAGATAAATCTTTGTATCAAAGTACATAATATATAATACATAATATAATGTGTCATGTCTTGTTTCTTATTTACAATAAAAATAAAATTTTCATCAAACATAGTTCCATTGTGTGAGCTTGGACAGACAGCAGAGTTAGTTGGTGTATGAGTCTGCTCACAAAACAAGCAAAATACTGTCTTAGTCTCACAGAGAAATTCTGAATTTCAAGCTCAAGGGCTGGTTTGGCTAAAAAACTTCAAGGGTGGGTCTTAAAAACCTGTTTTTTTTTCTTGCCCTGAGCGCTCACCTCAAAAGATTCAAGATTTGTGCCCAAATGGCACAATGGATGTCTGTACAAAATTTCCAATCAATCAAATAGTTGTCGAGATAATTCCGTCTGGACCAGTGGTGAACCAACCAATCGGCATTGCCATCCTTTGAGACAAAAATTCTCAACTCAGTTAAAGCACATTTCAGAAAAGTAGGCTGTGTGTATCCAGCAGTAACTCCAGAATAACCAGAAACTTTGTCCAATTGACACATTGTCACATGATAGATACATACACAAACACAGACTGACCTTTCACCCCCAGACACTATAAAAACAAAAAGATTAGAAAGCTTGCAACATGAGTTGCAGTGTAGAGCATTTCCTAGTTTTTTAATAGTGTTTTAATAGAAAGGTGAAAGTGAAATTTAGTTTAAAAGAGAGTTTTGTAGGAATCTTATGTTATGATGAAAGTATGAGTCAGTGCCAATACTGAAGGCCAAGTTCCTGACTTTCTGATTGTACGCACTAACCTCACAAGTAAGTCCAACTGACATGCATAGTATCTGACACGTCCCATTTTTTATTTTCAGTGACATGGTTTTTCCTATACATGGTTACTACTTGTGATTTTCCAACAGATACTTATAAGTTCATGAGAACTACATTTCAATTTTCTTATTGTCATTTTTCAATTACACAATAACCGAAATGTGTGTGTAGTGTTACAGCAGCACTTCTGTTCTGAGAATGTTTTATGAAACTGATGCTGATTAACAGGAAAAGGGCGCTGACGAACCAGCAAATTCCTCTCGCCAGTATCAACTTCTAGTTTTACATACAAGTGTTCTCAATTTCCTCATTTGCTTCGCATTTACTGTAAATACTGTATGTTACAAAATACTATGGCTGCACCTCACAGAGATAATATTGAAGACCAAGCTGTTTTGAAGAACTATAATGAAAGTAAAAGAAAAAGTAACACTTTGTACAGCAATTTGTTATTGCATGAGAACTTACTGATTCAAATATATCACATTTGACACAATATGCATCAACAGTCAAAACTCTAGAAAATTAGTGATTAGTGAAACAATTTTTTGCTCTAGAGGCACTTTTCATCCAGAACAAGGATGACAAGATCACATTTGACTACAATGTCATACAATTACATACAGCTCAGACCAGATTATCTAAACTGGTAGTAGAAAGTTGCACGTCCATAATGGCACATTAGACAGAATGAAACATCTTTGCAATTAGCCTTTAAATCACTTAACGATAGGCACTATAAAACCTATCCAAGAGATTCTCTGTTTGCTATGACAGTGTCAACACAAATGTCATGTTAGTTCTGACTGAAGAGGATGCAAGGAAAGAAAATCATCAGAATATCCCTCTCTGAGTCTTCAGATTGAGGATCTCTGCGGCCAGTTTCTCTGCGTCCATCAGATGTGGAAACATTTCCATGACTGTATCCACCTGATGTGGGTTGAAGATGGCTTGCAGTTTCTTGCGGAGTTCCAACCTCTGTGGGTCAAACGCAGGAGTGTATGACTGTTGTTGGTCCCAGTAATGGTACTGAGGGCCATAAGAGCAGCAAGAGTTGTGCGAGTATGAGGTATTAACTGAAGAGGGGAGACTATGCGATGTCCTGGCTTGGGGCAGCCCCTGAAAGGGGTCTGACCAGTAATTTTGCTGATGATGTGTGGCTCCGCTGTAATGAAGATGACTGGGGAGGCTGTGTTGCTGTGGCACACCAGGTGGGAACATGTGAGGTGGGTAGGTGTCGTATTTGGCTTGACCCTTGGAGTCCAGGTTTCCGTGATGTTGCTGCTGATGAGCTGCTGGGGGCACTACATGAGAAAAGCACCTGCAAGACTGGCTGCTGTTATTTTTCTCTAAATGCACTGAGGCATGTCTGGGTCCACTGAGGACAGGCTGCTGGGGCCTGAGCCTCTGGGAGTTGCTGGGGTAATGTGAAAAGTCAGAGTAGTGGCTTTCATAAGAGCCAAGGCCAGAATCCAGGTACTGAGACATGTTGGCATAGTAATGACTGGGCATTGAGTGCAGCCCAGACCAATCTTTTTGACACTGGCTTCCTGTTGCAGAACAGGGCATATGATTTGGACTTTTTCTAGCATCCTCCCAGTACAGCAGTGAATTTTCACTAACCTGACCAGCATGTGAAGGACTTTGCTGGTCTCTTATGTACTCTGTGTTAGAGTCGTGAGGATGGGAGCAGGGTTTATGAGCAGGCACAGGTTCAGACTGAAGTTGTCTGGGTGATAATCTGACATTTCTCTCTTCTTTTACAGTAGAAATCTGGGCTTTTTCTCTCAATTCATCCGCCAATGACAGGTAAGACTGGTTTGACCGCTCTGGATGGTAGAACTTACATTTGATGCCATAAGTGCACTTTTTGTCTGAGAAAAAACAAAAATGGACACACACACAAAAGTTAAAGGTCATCTCATTTGGGAACTACATTCCACAATACGCAGTATAAAAAAACTGTAGCAGAATGGTTCCTCTTCTTGAACTCTGTGCTAATCATATCTTACCATACGGACAGGGCTGTCTCTTTTGCTCTGTAGGCAGAGGCTTTTTCCTAAGGAAGTTGTCAAGACTGGGGCCATGGCGACCCAGAGGGTCATCTGGGGGCATGAACCTGAACAAAAAAAAACAAAACTTCATGTCCTTGTGACAAATAAGCTGTGTGCTGCATAATTATGTTTCCCTGATTACACCCTCAGGATGCAATATGCCCTCTGGAACCACATTAAACATGGAAGTAAAATGTGAAACCTCATTGGCTCATGTAGAAAAACAGGCTAATTGCTTACTTGTCATTCACAAAGGAGTACATGAGGAGCCTCTCCTCGATGCATTTCTTCCACTCAGGTCTTTCTCCTTGGAGGTCACGGTAGGTGTCATTCGATACGATCACTCCGTCTGACTCATACGCCAACTTGACGATAAAGCGGTCATCATAGCAAACCACTCGCTTACCCCCAACACGGCGTGAAGGAGTGAAGACCACAATTTTCCGCTTTTCAAGCTCCATCAAGATGTGTTGATCTGAAAGTGAAGACAATCATGAGTGAGATGGCTGTGGGGAGAGGAGGTACTTATTTTATATTATGTATTTGTGTTTAAACCCTTTTACATTATAATTTACTGTGTAATACAGTTTCTGACATAAAGTGGATAGCTTTTATCACCATATTTATCATATAACATGACATACAATTTGTCATTCCGACTGCACATACAAGAACCAACAACCACAGAGCTTAAGAAAAAATACAATAGGCATTTTACAAAGCCCCAGCAATCAATCACAGAAAACAGAACACATAATAGAAGGTATTAGACCATCTGTACAAACATCATAACTATCTCTATGTACATTATATCATATTACTCTACATGCAAAGTGGTTGAATGAAAGAAATAATACACCCACTGTGGGTGCTTTACTACACGACTTTTAAGTGAAATTAAATGAGCCATGAAATATGCATAAAGAGGCCAGGTTACATGAAAAAAGTCTGAGCTGCTGAATTATGGACAATACACTTAAAGGTGTGTTTCTAACTAAGTGCCTCTGTGTCTGTCTTCACCTCTTGCTGTACATCTTCTCCTGCTGTAGATGATTGTCAGCATCTAATCACTTACTTGCAGTAAACTAGGTGTGGAAGAAAAGAAAAACACAGAAGGACTTCCTGATGGGACTTTCCCACGAATGACTGCAGGCTGATTTTTACTTCCTTGTTCCCAGGTTGAAAATAGAACCTTTGGATTTCTCCACACAGCCTACGCATACTAACACACTCCAGCCATAAAGTGACGATGCATTGAGGTTAGCAGGAAGAGTTTGAAAATATGAGGTGGTGTAGTGTAGACATGATATTAATCTGGATTCTTCAGATACACCCAAACACGTTAGTGACTCAGCTGTCACTGACTGAGCTCTCTATTGTGTTCTACTGCCAGAGAATATCCTACTGCACCCACACAAAAACTCTATCACTAAATAATTCTTGTCATGAAAATCGTGTATGCCCACACTCTTGGCGTGATACTGAAACATAACTCATTAGCAAGTTGGGTAAAACTGTGTTTCACAACATTAATTGTGTTGCCCAATGGCTAAGTTCTGTAGTTTTTCCTCTGACAACACTGAAACATTATCTCATGGTTATACTGTGGGAATGAATCACAGATACAGGAATACAAGGGCGTAACAAAGGGGGAGGGGGATTACGGCAAAGTATGAATTAGTTGTATTCACATTTCTTGGTAATAAATTGATAGAGGAAAGAAAGGGTTTTAACTGAAAATAGTTAAGTCCTGGCTAATTAAAGGCAACATTTGGAAAAATATACTTATTTATTTTCAAGTTCACTAATTAACATGTTATATCTTGTTTATAATACTTTAATATACTTTAAGGGTTAAATGACAGTGTTATGTGCTGGGCCAGTTGCGACTGGAGACTCTAGGTAGCAATTCCTCCCAACCAAGAAACAGACAAAGCAGAAAACCCCTTGGCAAAATGGCAAATTTACATTTTTACACTTTGGTATTTGTACTGAGCTAAGTATTTCTTCTATCAGTGAAGAAAGAGACCCATTGGACAAGACTGCTTCTTTATTGGCTGGGAGTCGACGAGAGAGAGACTCACATGGACATGAAAGTAGTTTGTCTGCGAAAAGCGCATTTGATTTAAGTCACAAAAGATTGTCATGTAAGATACGCATTCTGGCATCCAGTCTAGCTTGCCAATGCTGGTGTCCTGGCTTATGTCATTGTAGGCTGGGAAAGTCCCTTGCTGTTACATGGAGGTTAGTAGTACATATACAAACAAATCTTTGATCTGACTATACAGACTCAACATTGTCACTGACCGCATCAGTAGCTTTTAGCAGTCGTTAGCTCGGCCATACTGCACAGTACCTGGCTTCCTAGTTAAAGGCATATTGAAGACTGTGAAAGCCACTGAAACTATCAGAATCTGATAGCTCATTTATAAATAATATGCTGCAAAGCGATTCTGTGTTGTGTTTGTGTAGTTTAGTACCGAACTGAACGTGACAGCTTGGACTAGCAACAGACTGAAATGAAGACAGAATCTGTGCTGGACAATGATGCGTTCACTTAGCTCAGGAAAAACATTGTCAGTGACTACGAGTATTTGAACGGAACTGAACAAAGTGATTTGTGGCTTCCGCCTCTACTTTCTCCTGTATGCTAATAAGTCGAGGGCTGTGGCTATAAACTGAAAGGTTTATGAATGCAAGGGTCAATAATTGGATTAATAAAAAGCCAATGTCAATTTGAACCCGACCGTCTCATAAAAGGGGGTGTTAGCCTCTTCTTGCTTGTGGTTTTAGCTTAGAAATTGTTTCCACTTTGACTGAGAAATGTTTTTGTGGCTAAATTAACTCCAATCTACTTGATGGGAACCATCTGTCTGCTTAGTTGTACATTTCTTGTATTCTCACCTGTTATGGGGGCGTCAGGTCTGGGCTGCTCTTTTCTCCAAGTGGGAACAAACACAGTAATAGTATTATGACCTCGGTCCATAAAGAAGTTCACTGCTAGCTGGATGCCTCGGCATGAGAACACTTCCTTGTTGCCGTGACTGTAAAAAGAAGCAGGTGTAAGAACATTAGTAACTAAGTAAATAATTGGACAATAAACACGATGAAAAAGAACGGTAAAACTTGACCTGTGTCAACAGCACATTAAATGCCACATAAAACATTCTGTCTCAGGGAACCTTCCCTCAGGATATTACTTACTGTGAACTATGTATGTTACACTTCACATAATTTGAAAGGTGGAGAATTTAAGGTGTGTGCCTATTTGCATATTGTGACCTTTACAAAAACAGGCACAGGCAGGATGGTGAACGCCCTTTTTAAATAGCTAAGTGACACAACAAGGAGGAAAATGCATGTTTTTAAGGGTCAGAGTTTTATAACAACATGGCAGTGAGTGATGGCGGTTTGAAACATGTTATTATTTTACAGCTGCTTTACTTTCAGGTGGACAACACTGCTTTGGTTGTTTTGTAGCTTTTTGTGTAAGGGTATTGGTGGTCTGTGGTTCAAAGTAAAAAGTAGCAGCTATGGGGATTATAAATTATGATTTAAGTTAATGATCCCATTAATGAGAGGAAAAAACCCCTTAAGATTACCTCATGGCAACATTACTGCCGTCGATAACAACAGGCCTCAATTCAGTGTCGGTATTCTTCTGCTCTTGGGGTGTGAATCTCTTACGTCCAAGGGTCCAACTGGGAGGCAGCAGAGGGTCCTTTTGGTCTGTGCCCCTCTCATCACTGTCAGAACTGGACATGGAGAGTGCAGAGCTGGTCCTGTTTCGGACCAGCTCTCCCAACACAGAGTTAGTGTCTGTGCCCAGGCCCAGCTTCCTCAGAGCAGTCTTCACCTCTGCTGAGGGGTAACCCAGTTTCCTGAAGAAGTCCACTCTGAGGGTGAGTTCCTCACTGTCTGTTTCGAGCAGGTCCGAAGCTGAGCTCTGGCTGGGAAGTGCCTGATCCATTCTGGAGCATCTGGGCCTCTTTTCAGCAGCATATAAGATGTGTTGTACGGCCTCAGGGTGATATTCATCGACTGATTGAAGGAAAATTACATTTTATTAGGAATACATGTTTATTTGACACAATTTAAGCTCGGAAGTGCCAGTTTTCCCTTTTTGCTGCTCTTAAAATCACATTAAGGTTATAAAATAATCTTATTACACAATCTGATAGAATATTATTCTAAATTGACTCATTGCAAGATGTTTACTGTGAGTTTTTCTATCCAAACCCAAGATTATATGTCCTTTTTTTATGGTTGCACCATTCCATCAAATTGAAATAGTCCAGATGTCCTTCCCAGAAGTCAGCCTGACATTTAGAAAATGCCACTAGACTTTAAAGTTCTGAGTTGCACAGCACGAGTTTAGTTTGTATTAACTATTCCATTCACTGCTTGTTAAGGAGTTTCATACAGAACACACTACAGACTTGGGCTGCCGTTAGACATTAATCATCAATCCTCTTTTTTCAGCTAAAATGCCCCAAAACTGAAAATGCGTTCAAATCTGAGAATTTGTTGTTTTTGTCTTTAAACTGAGTATTTTGTGGTTTTGAACTGTTGAACAAAACAATACATTTAATGATGAAACCTTGGGCTCAATGATATTGTGACACTTTTAAAGATGTTTCACACATCAAACACTGATTATTCAAGAAAGTAACAGATCAACCAATATTATTAAAATAATTGTTCATTAAAAGTAGAGTAGCTCATTTAATAAATTCTTCTGCTCTTGACAGAATTGTCATTTGCCATTTTCCATCTTATGAGCTCATGTCCATTAGATATTTATTCAGTGTACCTGGAAAAAGCCACAAATAGGCATTCCCAAAGTTTGATTTTATGTAAATGTCTGTAAATATGTTAAAGATGTCAAATGTGTGATGTTACCCAGTCAGATGTATTCATATATCACATATATGTGATACAATACATAACACATATATAGCATACACACAGTAGGCTATCAGGTATAAGAGGCCTGTGCTTCTGACACAGGCTACTGTAAAGTCTGCTCGCCTCCTCGGCCTTTACTATGTTAATAAAGACAGCTGTACATAACAGGAAGAAACGCTGCGCTGCTTTACACCACGTTATGTTACCTGCATGAACATAATAATAAACCCTCCACGACTTTGGAAGACTGTGTACATGTAACGTTAGCCTACTTGACACAGGTGATAAGTTTCCAACGGGACATTTCCACCGCAAACCGGTCGGCAGGTTAAAGGTAACAGCGTCCACAAAACCTCACCGCAGAGACAAAGCGACGACTTACCTCCACCGTTTATCTCTTCCCCCATGTTGTCCCATGTGTCAGCAGAAGTCACTCATAACTCTTGTCAGCGTTTCGAAGTACAGTAACTTTAACACGGTTTCGACTTTCATAGCACCTCCCTGTTGGAAAATGGTTCCTTCCCTTCCTGTCTCCCCTGACGGAGCGACACTTTGAAATATTTGCATATACTATGAAAAATAAGAGCAGGCGTTCCCTTTTTCTCTGCCTGTCAGTCAGGCTCTGCACTGTAGTGCTTTGCATATTCTTTGTTGTCGATGTTGTGCCTTTAGGCAATAAAGCTACAAGCGGAAAACATAAATAGTCTACCAGTAACCAAAATCAAATCAAGTTAATTTATTCATAGAGTAGGCCACATTTATATTGACCAGAATAAATAGTTTAGTTTCATCATTTAAATAAAGAAACTGACAGAAAGATCGCCACTATGCGGTTATATTAGGCAAATAAAATGCTAGTAAAGCTAATTCAGTGTGTTTAGCTGTCATTTGTAAAAGACCTTTTAACCTGTTTTAATTTGAAAAACAGTAAACATTTCTGATGATCCAGTGAGGAGATTCATGTGACGAACAATTCATTATTTTGTTGGAAAAGATTCATGGTCTCTAGTCATGTTTTGGAGTATTCATGCTCTTATTTGTGTTGAATATCAGTGGTATCCTCTCATATCCATATACAACCAGGTTAGTGTAAAGACGCCCCTTAGTGGTTAGTAGGCAAAATAACAACACCAATGTTTTTAGTTTGTAGTGATTTTTGTTGTCTAAAAGTGAATCAAAGGCACAAATACAATAATAAAAAAAATCCAAGTATGATATATTATGTTTCATTTTAAGGACATGAAATCAACTCATACACTGATAATGCTACTAGCTTGTTTGCTGTTAGAGCAGAACTGCTTATACAATCAGTATTCAGATAAAAACAATATATATAGAAGAATAAACCATCATTCAGTCATATACCTCTCTTTAAAATATAGAAATGGTGACAGAATTAAAATATTGTTTGGTTTGTTTGCGCCACTAGTAGAAAGTAACTAAATTCATTAACTAAAGTATTTAAGCATAATATTGAGGTACTTTATATGAGTATTATCATTTTATGCTACTCTATACTTCAACGTCACTACATAGGGAAATACTGTACTTCTTACTCCACTGCATTTATTTGACTGCTTCAGTTACTAGTTACTTCGCATTTCCAGATATTATCTCATATAAAAACATCAACAAATAAAATACACACTACAATATACAGAATCATTTAAAAAAAGAAAGCCATGTTTATGATTAGTACTTCTTCTACCACTGGGTCGTTAAACCTCATTAAAGTGGATGAAGTTGAATTAACTATTTAATCTATTTATTATATATTACTCTTACAAATTAGGCATCAGAATACAAATCAAATGCTCTTGACTGCACAGTTTTCTTTATGTAAATTATTAAATCTGTAGATAAAAAACAAATGAGTTCCCCCAGATAGGGAGCAATCTTAACAGCTCAACACACATAAATAACATAATTTATTTCCTTGATACGTTATGAATTTTCTTAATTTTATGAGAATTGCTAATAAAGGTGATCTGAAAATGATATCTTCTCGACGTTCAAATTATGCAATTACTTCTGTAAGACATGATTAAATACAATGAATTGTCATATGCTCAATATCTGGGGTTTACTGTAGGTCAAACGGGGTGAAACTGGCCCCAGACATAAGTTAAAGTCACACTATGTAGGATTTACTGTACTGTATATTTTTTTAGTTGCAAAAGACTTTTTGACAAACAAAATAAATAGATATTTGTTTATGCATAGCACATACAACATAAAACAAATATTTTCTTGTTTGCTGTAATAACAATGCTTTACGGTTTGTAGCAGACTAAAGGGTTACAACTTCAATATTTACAGACAAAAAAAAAGATTTTGCTTTTCTAGTTATTACTTTTACACATATGGCAGTCAGGTTGGTTGGTATATGCTAGATCATACTATACATAATTAAATCACATTCAAACATTTTATATCATATATATTATAGTGTTTTATTGCAATAATAATTGTGCTATAATTTGCCCACTAGATGTCACCCTTGCTCCATGTTATCTCGCTGTGTAGCCTTTACTGGAAAGATTATGGAAGATGTTGGTCTGCAAATAGTTGTGGCTTCAGTAGGTTGGCAGTTAAGTTGTGAAGTTCTGTGTAATGTGTGTGTGTGTGTGCGATTGTAAACAACACTCTGTGTACAGGGTTAATGGCACGGTCGAGTTAAGATCACAATGCGTGCAGCTGGTTAATGGCATATACAGAGTTGAGTTCCGGAGAGTGGAGAAAGTAATCAGGGCCAGTTGCCAGGTGGTTGCTTCCTCTGAGGGCCCACACCACTGGTCCCAGGTGTCTGCAAGGCCTGATATTACTGCAGGGCAATGAGCTGCAGCCAGCAACGATGAGTTGGGGTGAACACACAAATACACACATTCAAGCTCAGACGGAAAGACAGAAAGATACAGGAAGCGCACACACATAAATTCACACATTTGTGTGAAGTTATCTATGTCTTTATATGTGGGAGAGTTTCAGGTGCATTATGAAAAATATCAGTTGTATCAGACTTAGCATGAAGGACAGTTACATAGTATTTTATTGATTTTAGTCTGTAAACCCTCCATTTACCCCAGTGGACTGTGGTTGAGTGTATTGTTTGTAATTTATGGCTAGATTATATTGGAAGGCATTACTGGCACCCAGAGAGCTATTGTTCAGTAATGCAAATCTTGAACCTCGCTGAGAATCCAAGTGCCCAAGATTGGATGAGTTTAGTGCAGATTGGGTGTTGTGAACATCAAACGCTTACTTCCTTAACATCTTAGGGGGAGGCATTACCCTACTCAAAGGCATATCTTTTTCCTCCAGGCAGGTGTAGTTTGGCAAGGCTTGTTAAACCCGAGACAGTTGATCAAATATTCAGCCAGGCTCATTGTGCTGCTGAGAGCTTTTGGATGCGGTTGGGATAGTGCCGTGCTGATAAAACCAGCTTTGTAGTGCCTCAGTGCTGGCCTCCCTTTGCTATTCCTTTCGTTGACTGCCCGGGTCAGCCGTCTGTCAGAAAAATTAATTTTTGTATGATTTCTTTAAAAAGAACCAAAGGAAAGAAAAGGCAGCCTTTAACTAGAGTAATCCATCTTGCACCAATGGTGTCAGAGTGATTCACGATTTCCAATTTAACCACGGTTTGAATCTAAAGTAAATCAGGCAGGACGGCTCCACCCTTTGTGCAGCCGGACGACAAACCCTCAGTGACAAGAGCTTTCAAATGAACATATCCCCCACATTCATCTTGTTCATTTATTACTTGAGACACCCCAGTGCTTGTCCTACATAGATCAGCAAGCAAAGACCTCCTAACATTGTGTGCGAGTGTAGAGGACGTAAGGGATTAAAACTAGCTAGGTGGCCATAGCATTGATAGAAGATTGGACAAAAGAGCAATATAATGGAGAGGGCCAAGGTTTTGAGTCTGTGTTTAATTAAATTTGCTTTGATTAGTGACAACTGAATTCTCTGAGTAGGATGTGAGCGTAGAATTACAATGTAGTGACTACTCCAGCCTGCTGTTCACAGACATCTACCTGAGATATTCTCTGGAAGCATTTGTATTCATCTAGACATTATTTGTTTTGGTTTTTCAATCTTCTTACTGGTCAAAAATTGATTAACCAGGTGTATTTCTGTTTTAAATGTTATTAATTCTACTGTATGAAACCTTCCTTTACATACTGCCAAACAAAGGACAGTTAACAAAGGCAAATTAATAAATGTTTAAAGCTGCTATAGTCAATATTTTTATTTTAATGATGGACAAAATAATTATGTGTAATGTGAAAGGGAACGCTCATAATGAAAAGAGAGAGAATTATTGCTCTCATAAACACAGTTTTCTGGCACAGCAGGCAATTATTTAAATTGAAAAATCATTAGAAAACCCACTGTATGCTACCTGCCAGCACCCAACAGCTAACAAAAAACGTTAGCAACTAGCTGGTGAACATAGTGGAGCATGAAAGGAAAGTGAATATTAGACTTCATCAGATCATTTCTGCTTGCAGAATGTGTGTTTTTTTATTTCATAATTATTCGCATTTGCATTTACTCATATTCTGTGAAATGAATTATTTAAAGGTCCAGTAGGTAACATTTAGGAGGATCTATTGGCTGGAATATAATA